GTATGTAATACATTGGAAGAAGGACTTGGTGTTGGATTTTTGATGGAAAATGGATCCCTAGGGTTGGTATTGAGAATATGGAGAGAAGCCCTAATTGTTACGATAAATTAATTTGTATAATTAATTTAGGGAAATAAGAAATTAAATAAGAAATATTCAAATTGGAAAGGTATGGGATAAAGGGGTGTAGTTGGATTAATTTACCGCTCACCTAGACAAGATGTTGATATTTTATCCGTTTGGTGCATTTATTTCCTGTTTAGAAATAACTGTTTTGGGCTATCGGTGGAGGATAATCTTGATTGTTGTAGACAATGCATGATGATTAGGCAAACTAAAACTAATCAATTGGGTATGCTATCGAATACAGCGGTTGGTATAATACATCAAATTTTGTATTGATTGATTGAACTTGTATATAATAATTGTTTATATACATTGTGTGTGGGAGGAGATGGGGGATGTACTCCACGGTTTATTGGAAGATGGGGGATGGACCTCTAAACCGGATGTTTTTTGACATTGATACAACACTACCATGTGTATCATTTGTGAATTATAGTAGTGTTTTGTTTGACATTGATATAGCACTAAAATGTGTATCATTTGTCTTGATTGATTAAATTTGTATATGATAATTGCTTATATGCATTGTATTGTGTGGGAGGAGATGGGGGATGTACTCCACGGTTTATTGGAAGATGGGGATGGACCTCTAAACCAGGTTTGTTTGAGATTGATATAGCACTAAAATGTGTATCATTTGTGAAGTATGAAAGTGTTTGTTTGATTTGATATAACACCAAAATGTATATCATTATCATTTGTGAAGTATGGAAGTGTTTGATTGATTTGATATAGCACTAAAATGTATATCATTATCATTTGTGAAGTATGGAAATGTCTTTGCTGACTTTGATACAGCACCAAAATATGTATCCATCATGAATTTCAAAAGTATTTTAGTGATGAGATATTATCTCATTAAATTGTTTGGCTAGGTTCTAAGCCTTGTTTTCAAACTTAAAGTTGAATAAGAAATGAAAACTGAAGTGTAACATGGATATGATTGTCATGAAACTGTAATGTGATCTGAGTGGGAATATAAGTGTGGACCATCTATCGAATGCTATTATTTTAGTCATTGTTTATAGTTGGTTTAGTATATTTCTACTGGGCTATGGCTCACCCTATATGGGACTTCATTTTCAGGTACCGATGGTATGCCACCTCCAAGAACATAGCTTAGGAGGCTAGAGGCAGACAGACTGATTTGTTGTTTTGTTTTCTTTGAATGTATTTCATGTAAATTCAAGCCAAGGGCTTAATGTGTATTTGAGTTAGTACTCACCTTTTGTAACCAAGTGTTGACTTGGAAAGTTGTAAGCCTATAGGGCAGTTACTTTTGTTGTCAACGTTTAATACATTTTGTAAGGATACTCTGATGATTGTAATATAATATATCTTTCATGTATCTTGACTGTATGATATTATGGGTTTATTTTGAGGGCGTGACAGATAGGTGATTGTATAAAAAGACCTTTGTAATTGAGACATGAAGAAATGGAAATGGAATAAAGAATTTCATCAAATTCTCAAATGTAGTCACTCATACTTGTATGAAAATATAAGGAGAATTTTAATTCAATGTAATATTTTAAAAAATTTATAAATAATGATAAACTTTATACATATTAATAATTAAAAATATAAACTTTTTCATAATTTTGTAATATTTTTTTGATAAGCCCACTAACAGATAATTTTCCCAAAATATAATCATTTGGAGTTATTCATTTTTCTTTAAATTTTAACAATTTAGTGAATAAATTAAATTTCATCTTCATCCATCAAAAGGGGTGAATAGGACAGTCAAGAGAAAATCAATACCAATTTTAACAATTCACTAGTGATGAATTGATCTCAAGAAAATTTAAAATGTAATTGTTTAACTAATCAATCAATCACCCCAACAGTTAGGCTTCATTTGGGATAAACTGTTTTAGCATAATTTTTTGGCTTTTTGACTATATTTTTGTAAGTAAATTAAAATTGTTTATAAAATTGTTGTTCTTGTTTAATAAGAATCGTAAAATTGGAATAAAAGATATTATTAAGGAAAAGTGAAAGGTTTGGCCTAGTAGGTGCAACTTGGGGTCTGGGGGTGTGCTCCCTCCAGGTCTTAGGTTCCACGTAGAGGGGGAGTTTTGCGTGGATCCAAGATTAGTCGACACCCGGTCATCAAAAAAAGGAAAAGTTAACTTTCTTATAATAAATTATAAAAAATTAAATATAATTGTCTACATTGAAATTTAATAGAATTCATAAATACTCTTGAAAATAAGATTTATTGATTTTTGTTTCAAACTTTATGTTTGAACAGCCTGCGTTGCTCTAGTTTCCCTTGATAATTGTTAGAGATAGGATAGGACGGAAACCAACTTGGGTGGCTGGGAGATTTCTAAGAAATGTGATTGAAAATAAACATAAATTATTCTATAGGATTGGTTTATATTCTATGTGATTTGCCCTTCGAAGTGTATGGGGTCATATAACTAATTTTATGTATATTTTCTCATTGTGATAAGATAGGCACACAACCAAAAATTATCTATTAGGTCCAGAATATCACGTGTCCATGTATTTGTCCAATAATATTCTATAATTTCTCCACTATTTTCTTATTTTTGAAACTATGTATTTATTTAGCCCTTGCTATTCGTCAGGCACACGGCCAACTTGAAATTCCCGCAAAATATAATAATTCCTCGCATAACAACCTGGTAGAACGGATCCACTAGATAACTTGGAAACAAGGGAATACTTTGAAATTGATACATGTTGAACTTTCAAAGTGGCTCAACTCATACTCACATTGCCCAATTTTATCAGTTTGAAACCCATTTAAATCCATAAAACATGTTATAAATGAGTTTCATTTATAAATGGGTAAGCCCATCATTTTTAACTACTTAATTGGATAATAAGAAATTTAATTCACATAAGCATCGTTAGATGCACTTTTCTATGCAAGTAGTATTATTGGAAAAGTTAAACGCCAAGAGAACTGTAAAGTTCATAGATAGGGTTGGCATTGTTTTCTATATTTTCAAATATAATGCAGAAAAACTATCCCATAAATAGCTGGAAAAAAGAAAAAGAAAGGAAAGTAGAAGAAGAAGAAGAAGACAAAGAAGAAGAAGAAGAAGAAGAATGATTGCTGATTGCTTTGGTTTTTTTGTACAAAGATTATTTATTCCAAAGTATGAAGAAGGCATTTAAGAGTTAAGTCAAACTTGGAGTAGTTCACTCTACTTGAGGGGGGAAAATGAATAATATGCACATATGAACTAGAAGAAGAAAAAAGAAACATAAAAAAGAGTAGAAGCTATTAGGCATTAAATCAACAGCACTTTCTTCTTCTTGAACAAGCTGTCCAATTTGAAGTAGCTGGAAAATAACCTCCATATGCTTCTCTTTCTTCTTCTTGAATAAGCTGTCCTTAAGGGCAAAATTATGAGTCATAATTAAGTCATAACTAACACCACAATGAGTCATAACCAACACAACTGGACATAACCAAAGACAACAAAGATCATAACTAGGCATAGAATTTTCCAACACCTCAAAAAGGGTACGTATTATAGAATTTTCCTCTTTTTTAATGTTTATAATAGTCATTTAATAGTTGAATGTATTTGGGAGATTAGCAGAGAAACTACAACAATATAAAAAGGCAGATTAGCTTCTCAAGATATAATGAATGACAATTCTAGTACACCAAACTACCACCAGTTGGGAAAAAAAAGAAAACCCCACTGTGTATGTGTGAGCCAAGTTTCCCTCATTCATCCAATCGTGTCATCTACAATTAGTAATTAAATCAATACTGTCCATATCGCCATTTTCCTACTATAATTAATCACAAAATTCCCATGTCTCAATAAGTGCTAGTCAATATCTCCAGGGTGATCCCTTAATCGCCATTGAATTGAGAATGTTTGACCTCCCTACAAGCAAACTTTGCAACATTTCAACAAGGAGAAACACGCCATTATTTTCAATGTGAATTCTCTGTCCAATACCCAACATTTCAGTCATTCAAAAATGATTAAGAATGTACCAAGAGGAATGGTTTCAGTAGCAACTTTGCATTTAAAACTTCAAAACTTGTCAAGGTTTAGTCTTCTATGACAACAATCTAATTTAAAAGCAACTACATACAAAAGTTCAAATCTCTAAAGGTAGTACATGATGTGAGAAAAGAAACAACAAAGAGTCATGACATGAAACTCTTATTTAACTCAGCGCTTTAAAAAAGCTAGACAGCTTAACAAAGCTTTAGACTTCACCAGAACAGCAAGGGTAAAGCTTTTGAGTGATCCTGCATAGCTGCTATTTGGATGCACATACACTCAAATGCAGTAGCTAGGTGAGAAACCCCTTCAACTGGACACCATTGCTTTATTGTGCTACTAAATGGAATAGATCTAGTTTTGAATAAAAACATTAGGAACTCAACTATAGCTTATGGATAGAAACCATAAAAGATAATTCAACAAAGTAATGCTTCAAATATTATTTCCACTTGCCTACTAACACCATTTGTTTTTGCTGATTCTTCTTTCACTGCATCAGTGGGTACTCTTCTTAGACCTTTTCACCTTCCTATATTGTCCTCCTTCAACAATTTTCATAAGCCATTCTGGTATTCAAGTTACAAACATAAGATATCCCATAACGATTCCAAATACAAATCCACATTCATATCCCATCACTACAATGTTCTAGTTAAATTCGCTCACAAAGTTTTAATTTGCTTCTTCTTCATTATTTTCACATTTCTCTGATAAGGGAAATCCACACAAGACCAAGTTCCCACAATATGAATCTTTTTCGAATGTATTAAGTCACAATAGTTGATTAACTGAAAGGTTTAGTACCTCAAGAAACATCAAACTTGTCAACTTGTTTGAGGATAGATCCAATGATTCAAGGTTTTACAAATTTCCAAGTGAAGTTGCGATGTGGCCTTTGAGGTTGTTATGAGATAAGTTAAGATCTTGAAGTGAATTAAGCCTCCCAATGGATTTCGGAATCTCTCCTATAAATTTGTTCCTCGATAAATCAATGATTGAGATGATGGTTAAGATTCTTGCAAATTCAATCTCATGTCCTTTCATAATCACCACCACATAATTGTAATAATAGATATCACCCATGTATTTCAATTTCATTGCATGTTCATTGACATTCATCATTGCTTCAAATTTTTCAATATAATTGGTTGGCAAAAGGCCACTGAACTCATTGTAAGATATGTCAATAATCCTCAACTTAGTGAAAGGAACTTTACTCTTGGTCTTAAAGTCTATGTGACCATGAAACCTATTAAATCTCAAGACCAAACCTGCAATTCCAGAAGAGTTCCTAACCAGTGGGGGAATGTATCATTTATCTTGTTTATTCCAAGAACTAGAACTTCCAAGTGTTCACAATTGAGCAAAGATCGCAGAACTTATCCTTCAATATGGTTGCCATTCATGTTAAGACTCCTCAGCATGCTACCTGTTGTAAATGCTGCAGTAAAGGTTCCATGAAAGCCATTCATCCCTAAATTCATCACTGGGAGACTATTGCTGAAGTTTCCGAAACAATGTGGAATAATACCACTGAAATTGTTATTAGACAGATCAAGAGCTTTAAAGGAAATTAAAGTTTAGATACTGCAAATTAAAGGAAAGATTTCTCCTATCAATTTATTGTTTGAGATGGAGAAAGTAATTGTGGTAATAAGTGGAATAGTGTGAATCTTTGATCCTCAAGGCACGTGGGGCATGCAAAAGTAGAAGAAGACCATGATGATGAACATGTAAGAACTTGAGAAAATGAGAGAAACAACAGAAATTGATGAAGCAATATTTGCCAACTCATTTCTCCTTATGGGAATCAAAGATATGAAAATGAATAAGTTGGATATTTGATGATGGAGAAGGATAAGAGAAAATGTATTCTTCTTATACACACTGCTAAGTAACAGTAAGTCTTTCTCTGGTGAAGCCCGTCAAGTAAGGCAACCATGTAAATTGTAATTATCCACTCTTCAAACAAGCTTGTCTTCCATCAATGTTTGGTATGACGAAAAATGAAAATCAACTGAAACATTTTCCGTTGATCATGAAAAGAAGTTTATTTGGGTGAAAAATATTTTTTGAACTAAACTCCTGTCCTACTAACGACATGAGACGATCTCCACCTCCACCACCCTACCACTATTACCGCCAACACTACCACCACAATTTCTGCCCCATCACTGCTTCCGCCACTATCTTACCCACAATCACTAGCACATTAATTTTAAGGTCAGAATCAAATGTTGAAAAATATTTGTTTTTTTATTTGTAATAAACGTTTTCAGTAACAAAATATATTTTACCGAAACAGATAGAGTGGTAATTCTAGTGGCCCCAAAGCTAGCAAAGGTTGGCCATAAGTCATGAAAAAAGTTAGAGTTGGTATTACTAAGCAAGTAATGCACAATTTGAGACTGGAATCCCGAGAGATGGAACAAAAACCAACCTAGGTAGGTGGGATATTACTTAAGGAATGTGGCTGGAAATAAGTAGTTTGAGGTGGACACATGTTGAACTTTCAAAGTGGCCGAACTCATACTGTGAGAAAGAGAGAGAGAGAGAGAGAGATTTCCAAGTCATCCAATACAAGGTCTACCCTCAGGCTCTGCATATTAACTTTATACAAACCTTTTCCATCCTTGTGTAACAATTTTTCATTTTAATTTTGATGAAATATTGAGATATGATCCCATGCACTCATTTTTATAATCAAAATTTTCAATTCTTTAGAGCTCCAAATTAAGTTAGAGATGTGAAGAGTCTACTTTCAAGATAGACATTTACACTGTGTTTGGTTGGGAGATTTGGAAAGGGAAAAGGAAAAAGTAAGTGATGTGAATAAAATATGCTTACATTTCACTAAGTTTCGCACACCTTTTTCCTTTCCCTTTCTAAATCCCTTCTTAAATCCCCTAACCAAACACAGCATTAAGGGGGAAAAAATTTAACATTGGGGAATGAAGTCTTGTTACATTTACAATGAAAATTGATTGATTTGTATAGCCAATTTCTTTGCATGCAATTTTAGGAAATTTTAACTAAGGGTGCAACTCAAGCATATTCAGTTGGGTTGAGGGGTTGCCCAAGTTGTGCTTAGAGTTGTCTAAACCTTCCCAAGTCCGACCTCTAGCCCAATTTTGTGCGCTCAAGGCTGGCTCAAGCTCAATATATTGAACTTGGAGATAAGAAATTGTTGCACATAAAGTTAAGGGAAAAAAAAACAAAAGTGGTTTCATTCACTAATTATAGTTTTTTAAGTACAACCAACCAGGTGATATGAAATTGGCATGAACAACTAAACATAAAATCCTAATACGCTCCTACTCATGACAATAGTAGCACCAACAAAAAATTTATAATTGGAGTAAAAAACATAGGGACAATTTAAAAAAAATCCTAGGTTTGAGCCTTCTAACAAAATAAATTGAGTGTTTAACTTTGTTAATTTAAACCATATTATTTTCATTTGTTTTTAATTTAAACCATATGTCTAGTTTTGTTATTTAAAATGGACGGGAAATGGTATTTTAGTCATTCAAAAAAATGAGGAAGATGTTGTGTATAGTGATACAGTACAATAGGGTATATATTCAAGGTAAATAAACATGTGGCATAATATGATTGGAGCTAGGACTAAATTGACTCAAATTGACAACTTTTAGGATCAAAATGATAAAAATTAAAACTTAAGGGACTAAAATGATAAGGAACGACTTTAGGGCCTAAAATTATCTTTTAGTCATATTGTTCCTGTTAACAATATAGACGGACATTAGAGTTATGACCAAATTGATTCAAATTGACAATTTTGAGAACCAAAATGACAAAATTGAAACTTAAGGGACTAAAATAAAAAAGATCGCATACTTTGGATATTAAAACTGCCTTTTATCCAAGTTTTGATATTTGGAAAAAAGAAAACTAGTTCACCCACTTGGTAGTGCCCAAGAAAACTATCCTTATTTTCTGTATTTTCTTTCTTCACAACTTCACAATTTTTTTCAAAAATTTAAGATCGAAATACAATCTTAAGATTATCCAAGAAATATTTGATATCCATTCATTTAAATTGTTTTTAGAAATGTTGAAGTTAGTAAGTTGTGCAATCTCTAATGGACCCTAAAAAGTGGATGAATATATCTTATAAGCTTAAAGCTAAACTAAAATGATATCATTTTAGGATGTGTTGTTTAAAATAAAAACGTAATATTTTAATGTCATTTTACTTTGATTTTAATGTTATGTTGTTGAATTATGTATTTCACAGACATGTTTCACTGTGGTAAAAATCATAACAAAATCATTATTAAAAAAAAAATGGCAATACTAAAAAGTTGCAAAATAAGAGAGGTACAAACTACTTAAGGATCAAAGATTGTTGATTGAATTAGGTAGTTGGTCAGAAAAAAATTAGTTTGAGAAGAAAAGTTATCCAATGCTCCTACAGATAATTCAAAGAGAATAGCTTCTTTCCAATCTGAATATTGACTAAAGAATGTTGTTTGAGCAATATAGCGATCCCGGGTTTACCCTTGTTGTACAGTGATCCGGACATGTGTCCGTGGATGTTGATAGTTGATTATTATCTTGTTTACATCCTTTCTTAATTTGTATTTGAGTTATAGGATGTGTTGGGCAGGTGTGTTGCAAGTTGGTTGAGTCTAGAAACCAAAACTAGTTGCCCAACAACTAATCAGCTCAAAGGTCATGTTGTAAGAATTAAGATACCAGATATAGCGATCCCGGGTTTACCCTTGTTGTACAGTGATCCGGACATGTGTCCGTGGATGTTGGTAGTTGATTATTATCTTGTTTACATCCTTTCTTAATTTGTATTTGAGCTATAGGATGTGTTGGGCAGGTGTGTTGCAAGTTGGTTGAGTCTAGAAACCAAAACTAGTTGCCCAGATTTTTGCCTGTCCGCTCGAGCGGGGCTTTTGGCGCTCGAGCGGAGAAAACACCCTTCCAGTATTTTCTGTGCAGTGTTGGACGCTCGAGCGTGGGATTGGCCGCTCGAGCGGGAGTGTTGTGTGTGACGCTCGAGCGGGGGAGTTGGCGCTCGAGCGAAGGCCTGGTTCTGTAAAAGTGCTGGGAGTGTGTATCCGGAGCTCGAGCGGGAGTTTGGACGCTCGAGCTGGAGTCTGTGAGTGACGCTCGAGCGGGAGTTTGGACGCTCGAGCGGGGCGACTTTTATATAAGTCCGAGATCCGACTTTTGGATCACTTTTTCAAGATCTTTTCTCTCTCTTACTTTTCCAAAAACCATTTTCAGAGCTTCTCACTCTAAACCGGCCCTTCTCTTTTCGATTTGATCTAGTAAGGATCGTTTGCTCACCTTTTGTCTTCACGAAAGTTGTGTTGATCGTCGAGGGCTTCCTTTTGATCTGAAAATTTCGAGATTTGGAGCATTTTGATTTTGGTCTTCATCTTCTTTGGGGCTCCGAATTTGAGGTAGGGATAACCTACTCCTTTCTATGGTCTTTGTCTCTAAATTTTAGTATTTTGAGATGTTGGGGTTGGTTGGGTAATTTTGCGAGAGTTCGGGGCTTTTGTGTAATTTTACAAAAGTTGGGGTTTTATTTATAATAAACCTAAATGCATGTTTGGCATAGAGAATTGGAATAAATGTTGAATTATGGATGAAAATGGAACCTTGGGGGTTGAAATGTAAATTATGGAATTTGACCTATTTACATCATTTGGTTAATTGGGATAATTAATCGTTAGAGAAGAGGAAATGAAATGGAAATGTTGATATGGGAATATACGGGGTTAAAGGGTGTAGTTGAATTACTTATCACTCACCAAATTGTAATGTTGATTAAATATCCATTGTGCATTTATTTTCTGTTTAGAGATAGGGGATGAACTCCGTAGACATAGCTCATATGCTTGTCTAGAGAAATGAAGATAGAGCTGATATGCTTATCTTTGAGAAGTATAGATATAGCTCATATGCTTGTCTAGAGAAGTGAAGATAGGGCTAACATGCTTATCTTTGTGAAATGTGGATGTAGCTTATATGCTTATCTGTGAATGTGGGATATTGTTGTTATACATATCTGTTGAAATGACGATAGAGCTAACATGCTTATCTGTTGAAAAGGGAAAAATGAAAAGTAACTTGGACTCATAAGTCGTTTGTCATATAATGTAATTTATATGGACGTACCAGTGTTGGCCATCTATCAATTGCTAATCTTTTAGTCATTGTTCATGGTTGGTTTAGTGTATTTCTGCTGGGCTGTGGCTCACCCTATATGGGAATATCATTTTCAGGTACAGGTAGCATGCCACCTCCAAGGACATAGCTTGGGAGGCCAGAGGCAGACTTTTTGTGTTGTCTTTACTTTTGATGTATTACATGTAAATTCAAGCCAAGGGCTTAAATTGTAAATGAGTTAGAACTCTTTTGTTGTAACCAAGTGTTAACTTGGAAAGCTATAAGCCCGTAGGGCATTTGCTTTTGTTGTTAACATGTAATACTTTGTAAGGATTAATTCTGATTAATAGAAGGATGTGAGTACTTTTACTTATCAATGCATGTCTTTATTGTTGGGTTTAATGCTGTTATTTTGGGGGCGTCACAAGCAATCAGATTGTCTACCTATTAACATATTAAATATTGGGTCAAGCTTTTTATTTGGATCTAATTGTTAATTAGTAAATAAGCAGACAAAATCTTAACCATTAATTTATAAAAAGTTTCAATGCGACAAGCATCTATTGCTTGTACTAAACTAAACGTCCAGTTTGAATATTCGGATTGGTTGTGGAATTTGGACATCCAAACTGGAGGAGCTCCGCCCATAGCCAGAAATTGAAGGGAACTACAAGACACATTAAGATCAGTTGACTTACAAATAACTAAAATCCTCTTTTTTAATGTTTGTAACAATCATTCAGTTAATAGTTTATTGTATTGGGCAGAGTTGGCAAAGAAAATACAACAATATAGTACACCAAACTATCACAATTGAAAAAATTAAACCCCACTGTTGATTGTATTTCCATGATTCTTTTCTCGCTTATGAACAACATTTCCAATCAATACTCTCAAAATCGCCATTTTCCTACGGTAATTAATCACAAAATTCCCACGTTTCAATAGAAACTAGTACTAGACAATATCTCCAGTGTGATCCCTTAGTCACCATTGAACTGGGAATGTTTTTACCTCCTAACAAGCAAACTTGGAAAAATTTTAAAAAGGAGTAACACATCATGATTTTAAATGCAAATTCTCTATCAAATAGCCAACAATTTTGTCATTCAAAAATGATTAAGAATGAAAAAAGGGAAATGGTTTGAGTTGTAACATTTAAGATTGCATTTTAAAGTTAAAAAACTCAGCAAGGCAAAGTTTGACTGAAATCCAATTTAAAAGTAGCTATATACAAAAAGTACAAATATTTAAAGGTTGCTACATGATGCGAGAAAAGAAACAAGAAAGAGTCATGATATGCAACTCTTATTTAACGCATGCTTTAAGAAAACTAAACAGCTTAACAAAGCTTTAGAACTCAATACAGCAACAAGGGTAAAATCTTTGGAAGTGATCCTGTATAGCTGCTATCCGGATGCACATGGAGTCAAATGTAACAGCTACATGAGACACCCCTTCAAGTGGACACCATTGCTTTATTGTGCTACTTAATGGAACAGATCTAGTTTTGAAATAAACACATTAGCAACTCAATAATCGCATATACATAGAAACCATAAAAGATAATTCAACAAAGTAATGCTTTAAAAACAAATTCTACTTACCTAAATCATGCCATTTGTTTCTGCTGATTTCTTCCTTTACAGCATCAGTAGGCACTCTTCTTGGACCTTTTCACCTTTTTATATTGTTTTCCTTCAACAATTTTCATCAGCCATTCTGGACTTCGAGTTAGAAACATAAGATATCCCATAACTATTCCAAATACAAAGCCACACCCATACCCTATCACTACAACTTGCCAGCTAAATCCACTTGACTTGTCTAAATTCTTGTCTTGTTGGATTGTTGGTGGCGGTGGCAGTGCCTGTAGTTCCTTGCATTTCTTTGACAAGGAGATTCCACATAAAGCCAAGTTCCCACTATATGAATCATTTTCAAATGTATAAAACTGCCTCCCTTGAGGAATTGGTCCTGCTAGTTGGTTGTTCGAAAGGTTTAGTACCTCAAGAAACATCAAATTTGTCAATTGCTGAGGAATCTTCCCAACAAGCTTGTTTGAGGAAAGCTCCAACGATTCAAGGTTTTTCAAATTTCCAAGTGAAGTTGGGATATGGCCTGTAAGATTGTTATGAGATATGTTAAGACCCCAAAGTGAATTAAGCCTCCCAATGGATTTCGGAATCTCTCCTTGGAATTTATTTCTTGTCAAATCAATGATTGATAAGACTGTTAAGATTCTTGATAATTCAATCTCATATCCTTTAATCATCACCACCATAGAATCTTGATAATGGTTTTCACCCATGTATTTCAATTTCATTTCATGTTCAACCGCATTCATCATAGCTTCAAATCATTTGATATAGTTTGTTGGCAAAAGCACAGTAAACTCATTGTAAGATACGTCGATAATTCTCAACTTAGGGAAAGGATGTTTGCCCTTGGTCTTGAAGGTACCTATGTAACCATGAAACCTATTAAATCTCAAGACAAGAACTTGCAAGTTTCGAAGAGTTCCCAACCAGTGGGGGAATGTACCATTTATCTTGTTTTTCCAAGATCTAGAACTTCGAAGTATTCACAATTGAGCAAAGATCGTGGAACTTGTCCTTCAATTTGGTTGCCATTCAGGTTAAGATTCCTTAGGAAATTGCCTTTGGTAAATGTTGCAGTAAAGGTGCCAGAAAAGCTATTAGTCCCTAAATTTAGCACTGAGAGACTGTTGCTCAAGTTTCCCAAACATTGTGGAATCAACCCACTCAAACTGTTATTAGACAGATCAAGAACTCCAAGTGAACTCAGATTGCAAATCAATGTAGGGATTTCTCCGGTCAATTTATTGTTTGAGATAGAGAAAACATATGTGGTGTTAGGTGGAACAGGGAGTGGTCCTCGGAGTGAGTTGGAGTGCAGGTCAATAAACTGTAGATTCTTCCATAGAAGACGCTCTAAACTTGTAATGAAATTATGAGAAAGGTCTAAATTTTGCAATGAATCTTTCCCCACATTGAATAACCATTTTGGAACTTCACCGTGAATTTTGTTGTTTGAAAGGTCTAGAGAATGCAATTTGGCTTGTTCTCTCAAGAAGTTTGGGAATTCGCTCAAGTTGCAAGAAGCTAATCCTGTAGTGTCAAAGTTGGTCAAGGTAGAGTTGACACTGTTGTTGATGCTCAATGAGAGACCATTATATGAGAGATCAAGAGAGATCAGATTTTTAAGCTTTAGAAGCTTATCTAGATCCACTACACCACTTAAGTTATTTGATGAAACCCACAGGTCTAGTAGGTTCTGGAGTTCATAAACTAATCCTGGAATTGGTCCCCGCAGCTTATTGTTACTCAAATATATATAAACCAGTGAAGGCAGAGCAAACAACGAAGATGGTATTGTCCCATTGAGTGAGTTATAACTCAAATAGCGAGAAGTTAGTAGGCTCATGTTGCCAAGGGAATCCGGTATTTGACCATTCAAATTGTTTCCAGAAAGATACAAATTAGTAAGTTGGCTCATGTTGCCAAGGGAATCCGGTATTTGACCATTCAAATTGTTGCTGGAAAGAGCCAAGAGAGTAAGTTGGCTCATGTAGCCAAGGGAATCAATTATTTGTCCGTTCAAATTGTTTCCGAAAAGATACAAGCCTCTAAGCCTTGCAAGGTTTGAAATTGATGAGGGGATTTGACCGCTGAAACTATTAAATGGGAAGTCTAAATCAGTGATTTTTGTAAGGTTCCAAACAGAAGCTGGAATGGACCCCGAAAGTTTGCAGTAGAAGAGGGACAAAATATTCAAGGCTTTAAGATTGCTGATTGATTTAGGCAATTGGCTAGAAAAACTTATGTCGCCAAGATCAAGAAACTGAAGGGAACTAGTTGCATTGAAGTATGGAAGTTTACCTGTGAGTTCTGAATTTCCCCCTACATCGAGCTCTCGTAGGTTTGGAAAGTGAAAAATGTTTTCTGAGAATTTCCCACGCAGTTGATAAGAACCAAAACTGAGAGATGTCAAAGAAGATAGATTTAGCAAAGCATGAGGTAAAGGTGAAGAGATATTCAATGAATCAAGGTGTAGTTCTCTTAATTGGGTAAGGTTTCGAAGGAGCATATTGAAAGTGTGTTGTTCAAGTCTCACCGGATAATAAAAAATATAATCATAAGGATTATAATTCAAATATGAGAGGTCAAGGGAAACCAATTTGGACAGATGGCAGATTTTTGAGGGAATTCGGCCTGTAAAATTAGTTTCAAAGGGGTTGAGATGGGTCAAACTTGGAAAGGAGCCAAAATCAGGTGAAATTGTAGAGAAATTGAAGTCATTTATAGCGATCCCGGGTTTACCCTTGTTGTATAGTGATCCGGACATGTGTCGGTGGATGTTGGTAGTTGTTTATTATCTTATTTACATCCTTTCTTACTTTGTATTTGAGTTATAGGATGTGTTGGGCGGGTTTGTTACAGGTTGGTTGAGTTTAGAAACCAAAACTAGTTGCCCAGATTTTTGGCCTGTACGCTCGAGCGGAGGTGTTGGCGCTCGAGCGGAGATTACACCCTTTCAGTATTTTCCTGTGCAGCGTTGTACGCTCGAGCGTAGGGTTGTTTGTTTTTAATTGAAGATAATGAATTTTCGGTCTATTATTTGAGTTAATATACTAAAAAAATATAATAATAAGATATAATTGTGAAACTCCGTATTTTCATATAATAAAAAAAATAATTTTTTTAAAATTTTTTTTAAATAATTATTCACAATATTTTGAATTTAATAGTCTGTATATTTTTATACTAAAAATTTATTCAAAATAAAATAAAATAAAATGTCTGTATATTTTTATACTAAAAATTTATTCAAAATAAAATAAAATAAAATATTTTTGACTTTATATTATTACTTAATATTAATTTATGAACCTTATGATATTTTTATTATATATTTTTTTATATTTTTTGGTAATCAAATTACACGGAAATGTAATATTTTCTGTACTAAAACCCCTAAAACGCGATCAAAAACCATGGGTTTGCTCCCCACGTTTTCTCGCTTCCCACCTTCCACGTGCAATCATTTTCTGTATCAAAGAAACTGCGGTGGACATGCAGTACCACGTGTTCCATTTCCTTTTGTCCCATACTTTTAATTTCTTTTCATTTTCATTTTCTTTTACTCTTTCTCATTTTTTCCATAAATCGAGCCTAACTTTTCCTCACATTTCTGCATCTTTTGCTTCTCTCTCTCTCTTTCTCTCTCTCTCTCTCTCTCTCTCTCTCTCTCTCTCTCTCTCTCTCTCTCTCTCTCCGTTTCATCTCTCTCTCTCTTTCTCGGTTCTCTCTCTTTCTCTCCACCTCTCATTCTCAAAACTCTATTTCTCCTTCTTTATCTCTGTTCTTCGTCCTCCTGTCGACCTCCATAGCCACAGCCTTAACCCATACTATCACCACCTGAACCACCAACCTGCGAACTTCTCCACCACCGTCACACCGTTGAACCGCCACCACCACCATCACTTAATTGCATTATCATCTGGAACCACCATTCACGACGTGTTGTAGGTAAATAAAGAGAAGAAGAAGGAAGATGGAAGGGAAAGAAACAAAGTTGGAAAAGTTTATTTTGAATTTTAAAAGTTGATTTTTGGCTTGCTTTCGGCATGCCAAAACCATCCATTCCGGGAAGAAGTAAGAAAAATAGGCCATGTAAGATGAAGTACGAAGTAAGTTAAAGAGATTGGTGAAAGAATGAAGTAGAACCGTTAAGAATTAAGAAAGTTATAGAGTCCGAAAGATGGTTCGAAGAAAAGTCCGAGACGAGAGGAAAAAATCTTATTTTTTGTCAAATTTTAAAGATCTGATATCATGCAAAAAGAGATGGAACGTGGCATGTGAGAAGCGAAACAAAAATTAGGCCGTGAGGTAAATAAAATGACATAAAGATAAGTTAAAATGGAGTTACGATGAAGAAAATACAAGTATTTGAACTGGTGGCATTGAAACTAAATTTCTGGGTCTTTCTGTTCGGGCATGCTGCGGTTGTTGGGAGAAGATGAACTAAATTTTATCCAGCGTTTCTCGGCTCATGGTTCTACGGTGCATCCTAGTACATTTTGGTTAATTGAGTGGTTCTATGACTTCGAGGATGACCACCTTAGGTTTTTTGACCTGTAGAATCCATTTTTGGGGTTAGATCTTGCAAATTCTGAGTATAAGACGATGATTGACAATTGAAAGTTCTGAGAGAACCAAACGGAAGATCAACAGTGAGATCGTGCCCGATTGATGTAAAATTTCAGCAAGAAGATAATGGAGCCAAAACGGTCATATCTTACGATCAAAATCATAAATAAAAGTCGGACGATAAATCGTTAACAACCTAACATAGTAAGAAAACTCTCTCAACCCTCTCATTCTTTTTAATTGTTAAATTTTCATATTTCTGTTCATATAGCTGAAAATTGAGATAACATCTTGTTTATAGTTGTATGTAAATTTGTGATTTGTATATTAAATATTTGAAAGTTATTTTTATTAGTAGCCTTAAAATCGTGGTATAATTTTGGAATTAGACTTGCATGTGTAGTTTGTGCCATTAAAGAGATGATTGAAGATTTTATTTGATTTGATTATATGACTCTTCAATCTGCCAGAAACTTGTACGAATTTTTAGACAATTTTATACTCAAAATTTTGTGATGATCTCTTCTAGAAAGTTGTTAAGAACGATATCTAGTTCATCCAAGAATTTTTGTAACAATTATTCTAGTTTTGTACGAATTTATATGAAATTTTAATGAAATCTGAAACTGTAGACAGATTTTACTACACATTTGAAAAATTATTAAAAATTCTATATTAAACCAAATCTGGTATTTTCTAAATAAAAAATCTTTAGATTATGGAATTGATTTGTAAAGTTAAGTGTGGAATTACTTTAAGAAAATGTGACGAATCTGTGTCATAAAATTTCTTGAAATTTTTCAGAATTATTTATAACTTATTTTTGGGAAATTCTTTCTGAAAAATGATCCTAACATGTTTTTTGAGTATCTCATATAATTACATGAATTTGTGAATTGCATAAATAATTTATTTATACTTTTAACTACAAAAAATTATATTCTGAAAATTCTGGGCAGAATGATAAAGAATCAAGATTACTACTTCAATTGTTTATCAGGATTGAAAATAAGTATTGTGCTAGTCTATTTAATTGAATCTTGTAAATTAGTAGTCCCTGTATGTGTGTGTTGAGATTTATTTTAGTATTTAAAATTATTATTTCACACCATGGCTTGATTAAATTGTTCACAATAATTTATAAATATTGATGGATTGTTGTAGAACGTATGTGTTGATATTTTTTGTTAAAAATTATGTTGAAATGGTATAATATCGATTATGATCTAATTTTTAATTAGTACAAAAATTAATTAAAATGATCAACGAAGTGTACGAAATTAACGGTTGACAGTTAGTACCAGTTGTTCAGGGTGAGTCTTGGTTTTAAAGAGTGTACGAAATTAAGGGTTGACGGATAATACCAGTTATTCAGGGTGAGCCATGGTTTTGAGAATTCTCACGTAAATTGTGTCACGAAACCCTAAGATGGCACGAGACTTATTTGAACCATTTTCGATATTCGGTTTTGGAATAAGGGTGGATGCGCAAGTGGCACTCAGGGAGGTTACGTCTAGCAGATCGTTTCCTTGGGGCAGACCACGGATGCCACTACTTGGGTATATAACTTCGGACGTGGACATCCCTGGTAGTTATGGTTGGTAACACTTGAATATTTGACCAATGGGGGGTTTCAAATTAACTGTTGTCATGCTTAGTGGTTAGTAAGTTAAATCTCTTTGGTGAGATTTTCAGCGTCACCTAATTTATTAAAATTATTGAAATTATTTTAATGATTGTAATTTATGTTTACAATTATATTTTTATCTCATGTTTATAATCTTATTATTTTTCTCTTAAAAAAAAAGGTAGGTTTGTTGTGTTTTCTTACTATGTTGCGAAACTCATGGCATGTGTTTTGTTGCCCTGACGTTTTATGTCAGGTTTTGACGAGAAAATAATTGAAGCTGAAATGGAGTTGATGCTAACGTAAAACCTTGGCTTACTTGAAACTATGACTAGAGTCGAATAACTTTTATTATCTTATGTATTAGCTATTAGGGACTTTGTAATTTCTTTTGATGTTGTATTTGGATAATTTTAAGTTTTTATTTAGTGTTATTTGAACCTTTGGTTATGTATGAGAGTTGGAATGTCCTATTAAGATGTCAACTTTTTGATTTATTAAGTCATTTTTTTTATTTAATTTCCCTCGACGTTCCAAAAATTTGGGGCATCACAATAATTTTTGTAAATTCAGAAAATGGAATTGAGTTGGAATCAAATATTCTTATGAACAATTTTAGGGAAATTGAAATATACACCATTTTAAAAAGGGTGTATCATATCCCTAATTATGTCATTTTCTTCTTTAGTTATGATTAATTTTCTTCTTAGTTATGACATTATTTTAGTTATGACTCAAAAAATTGAAATTATGTCATTTTTTTTAGTTGTAAGATGCATATTGTGCATAGCGTTTCTCGTAATTTTAATTAATAAAGATTAGTTTTATTAAATTTAACTTGTAATTTTTTTCAAACATTTGATATTTTTAGGTAGTAATGAAATTTTTTGATATAATATGATATGAATCAGAAATGGACTGAAAATGACAAGATATGATCACACAAAATATTGAACAAGCTAAACTAGTATTGAGATAAACGAATTCAAAAGGACACGATACGACATTCATTCCTTAATACACCCACCAAAAATTTTGTCCAACCAGCATTCCCCCGATTCCAATTCTTTTGAATTGAGATTTTGAAATTAATTGTAAATTAAATATTATATTAATTCACCATGTATATTTATATTTTATATTAGATGATCCTTGTTTTACAAAATTAAAGTATTTTTTAAAAGAAAATGTACATTAGTCAATGTTTATCGTATCCTGTTTGTGCTTTTAAAATTATTTAAAACAAGTATGTTAAGTGGACTGATATAGAGATGGGCGCTTGGCTCATAAATTCGATTAGTCATCTTGTAGTCACATCTTAAGATGTAGTGAGAGAAAGGTTAGGAATTTGAATTGATGGAGCAACGGCGACCCCTTTAGTTGTAATATAACTTTACTAACAAACTAACATGTTACAATCTTTTTGAAAAAAATAAAAATAAAAAAATAAGTTAGCAAGGTCCATACCAAATGGAGAGGTAGTGGATTCATTTCCATGTGCGATATCTGGGGGTTTAGTCACAAAATAAGAAGGCCCAGTGGAAACAGAACTGCATATGGATAAACTGTGGCCTGGGCTAATAGACTGGCGTTTTTGAATCAGGCTTAGAGGAGTGAGAGATGGTTTGTTCAGCTTTCTTTAAAGGTGTCTCTGATCCATAGAAAATTAAATGGTCACTAGCTGTGTCAATGGTCACTGTTGAGCCAGGAGCTAGAAATTGTGTGCACGACTCTGTACGGGAGTAAGTGGTGACTAGGGTAGTGCTAGTATTCTCACCTGGGTCATGCGTGACAGCTTCACGTGTCGCCACACGCGCCGTCGCTACCGTGGTTTGGGTCTACTGTTCAGAGGCATTCCTTCGACGATGATTGGGGGGGATTAAGCTTGGGATTCAGACTCCTCAGACTGGCCGACGATATTTTCTTGGCCAGCCATCTAAACTCTTGGCCATCCCCGATCGCAGTTCTGGGCCATAACCTGAATCTTTCCCTTGCTCCTTGGATACAAACTTGTACGTATTCTTATCGTGACCTAGGCGGCCACAATCATAAAAAATCTCATATTTGAAGGAGATCCAAGTATCATTGCCCTCCTGATTCCTTTTTAGCCATAGGCCTTTAGGGAGAGGTTCATTGGTGTTGATCTCCACCCGAATTGTGAGAAAGCTACGATAGAGCAAGAGTCCTTCCTTTTGAGCTTCCACCATTATAAAACTTCCAACATGGTTTCACCACTCTTTTTAGTCATATTGTGAAAAGGTAAGTGTTACGACCCAACCCCACTTGAAGGGATTAGTGAAGTGACTGGTCAGTAATCCGACATTATCGTAGGCCTTCTTAAACAGACACATAATTATAGGGGTTTGCAGAAGCAACTATGTTAAACAAAATCGTCCAATGAATTGTGCAGACTTATATGAGACAGAAAAATTTACACATTTATATACATATATATTCATATAATCATTCAAAAGAACACACAATCCAATCTCATCATAAAGGGATAAACCCTATGTACAAAAACATTGTTCTCATTTTCCAAAACAATTTCATTACACAGTAAGAGGCTAACTTCCCAGCTTATGAAGCATTGACACTTAACATTTTTAGAACCTCTACGTGAGGCACAAAGGTTGGCTTTGCAAAACAGAAATCCAAATAGACAACTCTAGGCTTGGTCTTGCGCTTAATCACCTACATATATATATATAATGCGAGCTGGAGCCTAATGAATAATAACAGAGTAAAGGGTTAATGAATAATCTCCCATAATATAAAATTTCAAATTCAGAGTTTCAGATCATAACATAATCAGATACATATTCAGACTTGTAATCATGCGTACGTGGTATATCCATTAGTTAACAGAGCAGATGATTATGCATAATCCAGACAGATAACCATTAAGGTTTAACAAACAGTTCCAAGAGTTGGAACCCACAAAGATCTCTGATAACAAATAACAGATAACAGATATAGATGCTAAGAATACCATAATTATATTTTAGATAATGGACAATTATTCATTCAGTCTTAAAATAACAATTCAGAAACATAATATAAATTGTAAATCAGAAAAATACTTGTAATCAAACATAGCTTTACAGAGTTGTTACTCACAAATAGATCCTTAGACAAACTGAATAGAACGAAGCGCGTGACCTATACAAATACATAACAGAGCTGGATTGAAACACACGTGCCCAAACTATGTCTTATCTAATTCAGTCCTCTCTTAGTGTGTTTCTAACTCTTTTCCTTATTATCATTGTCCAAATAATAGCTTCAAAATGCCTATGGATGTAAGAGGATGAAAGTGTGCTTTTGGAAATGTATTTCAAAAATGCTGAAAATAGGGTAGTTCGTTCGAGCACAACTTTGGTTACTCGAATGGTTTACAAAACTCTATAAAACTTTTTGGATGTAGAAATTCTAGGCTTGGTCCACATGCAATGTAAAGCTGAGTTCGCTCAAGCGTACACTTGGTCGCTCGAGCCAACTGCTAATCGCTGCAAAAATAACAAGAGAATGCAAAGTGCACTCGAGCGATGCGACCAGATTCTAGAATTTCCATAATGCAATTTGAACTCCAAAAAACATGTTGAAGGTCCACAATTCATGCATGACATACTCTTATGTTCAAATACACAACCAAAAATATGGATACTAACTCAATTGGCAAAATTAAAGCTTAAAACTTTGAGAATTCACCATGCATGTACTAATTTGACTTTAATTCTTTTCCTAGACTTGAAAACCATGCAATTGAGCTTCAAATTTTCATAATTCATGGATGCATGTGTGATATGATTCTCATTTCATACCTTAGTAGCATGAACCAAACTCAAATTGATGAAACTAGCCAAAATTATGCATACATGCAAGTATTGACTCCAAATTCTTCATTTTAGTTTCATTTCTTACATTTAATCACACACTTTTCTTGAATTCTCAAATTAAATGACTTAAACTCTTGAATTAGGGTTCATATATTTTCTATGATCTTATACATTCATAGTGCAGAGCACTTGTTTTTATAGGGTTCTATTTATAAAGTTTGAATGCCTAGAATGCATAACAAAACTCAAATTCTTAATTCTTGAACAAGCAGCTCAAATTCCAATTAGGGATGATCCAGCAGCAAATGAGGCAGCACTAGAACTGGTAAAAAATGACAAGTTGAAAGAGGCAAGGTGTAGACACCCCATTTTTGACCGACCTTAAGACTCAGATGTCACCGATTGAGCGCTTGGTGATGTTGCATAATGTGCTCGTTCAGAAGTTTCAGAGTCGCTTCCGTGAGCCCTGCCTCTGGACTTCCGAACCCTTTTCTGTGCCTTGTCTCGGTTTGCGAGCCAGACTCGGTTTTCTCTGTTTCTTTTCCTGAGGGGAGGGAGAGGTCCCGTAGACCATCTCTCAATGTTCGCAGGCTACATTTGGTGGCCTTTCGAATTCGAGCTCTGTGTTCGACAAATAAGTGTTTGAACCGTGTGTTCGCCTCTTAACTAATGTGTATGCGTGTTCACTATCTATCTGGGCTGCGTGTTCAGAAAATTTGAAGTTTGGGCTGCGTGTTCAACTTTCAGTTAAATTGTGGGCTGCGTGTTCACTATCTATCTGGGCTGCGTGTTCAGAAAATTTGAAGTTTGGGCTGCGTGTTCAAATTTCATGGAGTTAGCACAGTTAGCATCTCCTATTTGTGTGGTATCGCCTTTGGGTGGTGAGTTGATCCTGAAACAGGGTGTTAGAGGATGTGATATAGAGGTCGCCGACTATAGGCTTCCTTTTCCGTTTGTTGTCCAAGGGCTTAATGTGTAAGCGAGTTAGAACTCTTTGTTGTAACCAAGTGTTAACTTGGAAAGCTGTAAGCCCGTAGGGCATTTTGTTATGAGGTTAACATGTAATACTTATGTCTTGGAATTCTAATGAATGAAAGGAATGCGGTTAGTTTAAATGAAAATGCATGTCTTATCTGATGGGTTTATTGTTATTATTTTGAGGGCGTTACATCATTGAAGGCAAGATTGAGGGTTTGGAGGTGACGAAGGTGGAAGAGGGTGGTGTTGGGTTGGATGGTGCCCTGAAGGTAGCTGCAACTGAGGTCAAGTCCAATCACATGACCATTCGACCAGTCGCACGTGACCCCCTCCCACAAGCAGCAATCACTACTCTCATTCCAGAACACCATTTTAGGATGAGAATTAGATTTACAACGTGGAGAAGAGGCATTAGCAGTTATGGTAAATGTTGTTTTAAATTGGAGAAGTGAAAATCTCTGGTCCTCAAGGCAGGTATGGCGTGCAGAAGTAGAAAAAGAAGAAGAAGAAGACAAGAGAAATAACAGAAGAAATAGATGAAGAACAAACATAAGCCAACTCATTTTGTTTTCTTACAGGTAGAAGGATTCGGAGAGATATGAGAAGGAGAGTAGTTTGATGGGAAGGAAGAAATGTATTACTCATTCTTATACACACTGCTGAGTCTTTCTATGGTGGTGGTTGGTGGTCAAGCGCGACAACTAAGTAATTTTTTTATCCATCAGCTATCATGACTTTTAAGTTCGCAACAGCTAGTCTTTGTCTTTAATTTCAGTGGTCCCAAAAATATTCGTAACGGTTTTCCATAAACGACATGAGAAATTACATCGCTAATCTTTACATTTTGTTCTTTATGCCATTTTTAGTTTGAATAATTTTGATAAGTTCAATTTTGAATTTTAATTTAAAATTTTGTGTTAATTTAGTTCAAATAATAATACTGATTAGGGTTCTTGAAAGAAAATATTACTGAATTGGTTGAGATTGACTCATTGAATTGAACAAGTTTATAAGTTTTTATCTATAAATGCATCACACGTGCCATTTATGTGTCCATTTTTTATCCAAAAAAACTAAAAGTTATAATTAATTGGACTAAATTGAGACAATTATAAATTCATATCAAAATCAAATCCATTGAAATTATAAAATCAAAAATGATATAAAAGTAAGAATTACTAATACAATTTGTCTGAATAAATTAAAAGTTGGCAATTTTGAAATTATTTTGCTTTTTTATAGCATAAGTTTAAGATTCATTATTTTTTTATTGTCCCAAATTTTGAAAAATAAAATTGGCAGGGTATTAATTAAAAGTGACGATTCATTTTATTGAAAAATCGATAATCACATTCTAGAAATTTACATAGTACTCAAAATACAAAGACCAGTGGTCCAAGTACTTTGCCCAAATATATTTTAAGCGTTGATTCTAGTAGTAGTGGTCCCAAGTCAACAAGTTTGGAAGTAAGTGAGGAAAAAGTTGTAGTTGGAATTAGAAAGCAAGAGTGAATGGAACATTTTGAGACTGAAATTGTTAAAGAAATAGAAGACTAACAAACGTTGGGTTGGTGGGATAAAGAGAGAGAAATATTGATCTTGTGTACTCATTTTATGATCAAAATTTTCATTTCATTAGAGTTTCATATGAGATTATAAATGTGAAGAGTCTACTTATAAAGTAGTTGTTTAGATTATGAATTTAGATAAAGATTTAAAAAGCAAAAGGGAAAGGAAAATAAAGAAAAATTTTAACTTATATTTTATTCACATTTTATTTCTTTTTTCCTATTTCTTTTTTTGTGTTTTCCTTTTCAAATCTCTATCTAAATTTATGATCCAAACACAAAATAGGCAAAAAAAAAATTTACACTGGGAAATGACATCTTGGTACATTTGGAATGAAAATTGATTGATTTGTATTACATTAGGATTTTAGTATAAATTAAGGTAGCTCATAATTTTTAACTTGGGGTGCAACTCAAACAAATTCAATAAGTTGAGGGTTACCCAACTAGTGTTGAGTGTTGTCTAGCCCCGCCCAAGTCTAGTTCGAGCTCAATAAATTGAACTTGAGATAGGCCCAAATTACCCACAAATTTAAGCTGAATTTTTATAAAACATGCTAACAAGTAACAAAATAAGAAACATAAGTATCAACTATGAAATCACAACAAAACAAATTAAACATCCTAGCCACATTAATAGTACTAAGAATATCTCCAATGAACTCTTTAAATGAGATTTGTTAGCTATTATACCTATCTTCAGTATATTTTAGTCACTCCAATAGACTAACTATTACAATAGTTATTTTAACAAAATTTTTCAAAATTAGCTACATTTGAAGAGTCTTGGGAGGCTCTTTAAATAGTCTGTATGTATAGATAGATAAAATAAATACTAATGTTAGAGTACATAAATAAAAAAGAAATTAAGTAAAATAAAGAACATAATTTTTTTGATTTTAACTAGTGAAAAATGAAGAGTACACTTGGAATTGCTATAAGCAAATATCACTCTGCTAGACTGGCCAATAATCCTAAGTAACAGGCAATAAGTTCACATTACAAATTGTTTGTACTATAAATTATTTTCTATCAATTGTGGCCTGTTGATTGTGACCAAATCTAATTTTATTGATTGTGGCCTGTCAATCATGGCCAAATCTAATCTTATTGATTGTGACCCGTCAATTTTAGTCTATGGATTCAGACCAAAATTATCTTTTTAAATAATTATGAGCATATTTTATTATTATTATTGTTGTTGTTATTGTTCTTGTTGTTCTTGTTACTGTTTTTTTGCAGTGTGTAGCAGACGTGGAGCAAAGAATCCAAGATGGGCAAAGAACTCGGCAACGTGGGTGATTATGGAAGACGTTGCTTACAAAGTGAAGTAGTGGAATATAACTTGATGTGAAAGTGGGCTGCTTTCAGCAGTTACAAGAGAAGCACGGTTTGAAACAAAGAAACAAGATTCAGAAGTCATCAAACTTATCAGTCTTTTTTTTATTTATTTATTTTTATTTTTAGGAATATTTAAACTTTTAGCAGTAACTTTTAACAATTTGTAACATTATAAATTTAAAAGATTACAATAAAAAAAAATTCTGTGTTTATTTCACTCTTTCGATTGTTAATTGTTTCAAAGAAATCCTTGTACTTTCAAGACATTAGAACCTTTACATATTCGTCTGATTTTCTGTTTGGTTGTTTGATTAAAATTGTTGTTAAATCTCTATCGATCAAGACTTAACAAAAATTTTACTGACACAAAGATAAACTTAAAACAAATGTTGAAGTAGTTCATTCACTTCTTCAGTCTCCAATCCTCAATTCCATCTGCTAGGAATTTGAAGAAGAAAAAAAAACAAAGAAAGTCATAACAATTCAACTAATGCAAATCAAATTGAAATTGTAATAATTTATATGTATATTTAATATTTTTATATATTTATATTTAAATTTGTAATTCAAGTTTTAGGTTGCTAGGAATCTTTGTCTAGGCCTAGCCTTGAATTTAATTCGAGCTTTAAATTGCTGCATAAACCTATATTTTAAAAATATATTGTCAAATCCTTAAAAATTCAAGTTGGACATATGTTGCTCGGTTTGAGTTGCCTGAGTAGCAACCTTATTTTTAACTGCTTAATTACATGACAAGAAATTTAATTTAACTCTCTTGGCCTTAACTTATTTTAAAAATATATTGTCAAATCCTTAAAAATTCAAAGTTGGACATATGTTGCTCGGTTTGAGCTGCCTAAGTAGCAACCTTATTTTTAACTGCTTAATTAGATGACAAGAAATTTAATTTAACTCTCTTGGCCTTAACTTTTCCAACAATACTACGTGCGCCAAAAAGAAAAAAAGAAAAAACGAAGAAGATAAAATTCATTAAACCCTCGTGGTTTAACTGTAAAGTACTTTATCTCCTATATTTTAAAAATAGTCAATTATCCCCATCTAATTTGGATCGTTTTACAATTTACTTCTTCACCTTTAATATTTCTGTCTAAATAAACAAAGTTTGTACTTCATACTCTATCGATTATGGTCAGACTAATCAATATTCAACCAAATCAATACCCAATTTGATTATATACATATATATATATATGTATATAAAATTGTGTATAAATAAACCTACATATATATATATATATATATTAAAGGAAATTCTATGTAATGTGTATATGTAAACCTATGTACGTATATATACATAATGAGTTAACTCAGTAAAATCCTTTGTGTAAACCTGTGTATATGTAATGAGTTGACACACTAGTTTAAGAGGGTAAAATAGTAAATTTTTAATTTTGTTAGTAGAGTTAGGTGTTACAATTTAGTCCAAAAACCATATGCGGGTATCTTATTAAACCACAAAGGATAAAATGAATTTTATCCCCCAAAAAAAAAAAAAAAAAAAAAAAAAAAAAAAAAAAAATCAATATGTATCTCATTTTATTTTGAATTTAATTCTCTCTGCGTGTATTGATTTTTTCTCTACGTATTTCTTTCTACTAGTTAGACCAAATGCATATTTAGAAAATTTCTGTATATACAAGATGAGTTTTTTTTCTTTATTTTTAAATTTTTTATTTTACCAACAAAAAATTTATTAATAAAATGAGTATACATTGGAGAGAAACAAGAACAAAACCACTCATCTCCAACATATAACAGCCACATTAACTGTAAAACACTAAAATATCAAAACATTACGTACAATTACATAATTGCTGGCAAGCTACTTAGATACCAACATATAAGACCAAAAGCAAACAAAAGGAACTCAATTAACCAACAAATCAAATAAATTAAATGAGGAAATATCTCTGTTGATATCATTTCCTCCTTGCTTTGGTGAGAGTGATCCCCAGTAGTGGCAGTGCCGCCAATCTGTAGGCAGTAAGCACCAAATTGAGGTCCCTTAATTGTGCCCATATGAGGGTAACAGCAGTAATAATGGAGCTATGGTGTCGCAGAAAATGAATATGTGAAACCACTTGTGTTTTAGCATAGTTGGCATGCCTTGGTCAGGTTCAATGTTGTTATAACCACCGGGTATTGTGCAACCAGCTGCAAGTGGCAATGAGGGTGGACACAAATAGAAGAGTGTTGAATCGGTCCTTATAGCTGTCTATGTTCACTTTCTCCAGTTGCATAGATGCTTGTTTCTTTTTAGCATTGACGGCTTTTCTACAGTAAGCTAGTGGTGCACCAGCGGCCTTCAATGCAGTCCATGTTAACCGTCGCAAGATAAAAATGTCTCACAAATTTAAACTATGACCACCTAATGGCTATTGAAATAGCAGGCCATTAAAATTCCTTCCAGTCAATGCTAAATAATAATTCGTAGTACTATGAAAAGGAATGTTCACACACAGACAACCTTTGGAGAACTTTAGCTTTAGCACACTAAGTGAAAAACATTTCGAGATTGTATATACGGACTGGCACAAGATTCACAATAGTTACCATTACAAAACATTAATCATGAATAATAACAAAGGAAACTTACATGTAGGTCCTAATAAGTGAACTTATTGTCTAATAGGTCCTATGGGAAAAATTTGTTATAA